AGTAAATGAGAGGATAGCATTTTATGCACAGCACTATTTGTTTATAATGACGTAATAAGCAGACTACTATCCACCAGGCAATTCGAATTTCCATCGTGATCCCAAAATAAACCCCCGTCCGGAGCTGATTAACGTGCCTTTTTCCCGACCGAATCTTGTCAGCATTCCTTTCAAGAGTCGATTTCAAGATGATTCTTCTGACAGATGGAGAAGCCAATGCCACCATCATATCCTCAATTGGTCCCAACGAGAAGGTCTGCTCTAACTGTGCAGATGTTTCTACCCAATCGACGAAGGAGTATATCGAGAGGCAGATAAAGCAAGGTTAGATACTAATTCTTAAGGCGTTTATCACCACGGCAGCATCTGCTAGTTACTTGATGTAAGGAGTTTCTTAACCTTTTGGTAGATCTTTGCCATGGAAGGAACGTGTGTTTTGCTAATCCGGCTAAATTTTCATGCTGACCCTGAACTTATATTCGTATGAAAGTAGGGTTTCGATACTACCAGTAAATCAGTGTAATGCGATGTGTTCACCCAATTTCGTGTAAGGTGATGAAGGACTGGTAGTAGAATTTTCCCACAATGATATGAGTTGAGCTGACGTTTCTATTGAATTTCACATAGCCTTGCTTTCCCAAAAGTTGTTCTCATCCAGGGTGGACTGCAGTTTCGACCTCTTTGAATTTCACATAGCCTTGCTTTCCCAAAAGTTGTTCTCATCCTGGGTGGACTGCAGTTTTGACCTTTGAATTTCACATAGCCTTGCTTTCCCAAAAGTTGTTCTCATCCAGGGTGGGAAAGCAAGGCTATGTGAATAATTTCACATTGCCTTGCTTTCCCAATATTGTTCTCAGCGTTGTGCAGCACGTCATCTCGACGGACTAACTATTTCACATAGCCTTGCTTTCCCAAAAGTTGTTCTCATCCTGGGTGGACTGCAGTTTCGACCTCGCATTCTTTCACATAGCCTTGCTTTCCCAAAAGTTGTTCTCATCCTGGGTGGACTGCAGTTTCGACCTCGCATTGTTCACATAGCCTTGCTTTCCCAAAAGTTGTTCTCATGGGTGGACTGCAGTTTCGACCTCGTATTGGGAAAAAAGGTGATGAAGGACTGGTAGTAGAATTTTCCCACAATGATATGAGTAGAGCTGACGTTTCCATTGAATTAGTTGATGAAGGACTGGTAGTAGAATTGTCCCACAATGATATGAGTTGAGCTGACGTTTCCATTGAATTTTACAGGGTGGACTGCAGTTTCGACCTAGCATCGGTCTTATTAATAGTCTCGCTTTCCCAAAAGTTATTCTCATCCTGGGTGGACTGTAGTTTCGAACTCGCATCGGTCTTACAGCCTTGCTTTCCCAAAAGTTGTTCTCATCCCGGCTGGAGTGGACTGCAGTTTCCACCTCGCTTCGGTCTTTGCCTTGCCTTTCCAAAAGTTGTTCTCATCCTGGGTGGACTGTAGTTTCGACCAAGCATTGGTCTTATCAACACCCTCAGCGGGATTCGAACCGCAACAGTGCAGGACGGTAGCTTGATACACTAACCACTCGGCTACACTGCCACGAGTAACCTTGAGTCACAGGGCATAAGTGAGTTTCAAGGAAGGTCAGGTCTCTGCTATATCATACTCTTCGGTGGAAGTGCCGATGAACCAAACGTATGTTTGCTATAGAAATCGACAACGTTACTTATATTCGTATGAAAGTAGGGTTTCGATACTACCAGTAAATCAGTGTAATGAAATGTAGTATCGAAACCCTACTTTAATACGAATATAAGTAACGTTGTCGATTTCTATAGCAAACATACATTTGCTTTATCGGCACTCCCACCGAAGAATATGATATAGCAGAGGCCTGACCTTCCTTGAAACTCACTTA